CTTTTAAATCAAATAAATTATAAGAATATGCATATTTGTTTCATTTTGAATGAGTACTCAATATATTTCTAAAATCTTTGATAAAATATTATAATCAATTCTTCTACTTATATAAAACTTTGTGATTATGTTAGTAATAACATAGTCGAAAATTTTACATCTAACGACTTGCAAAGCATATTTGTTATTTATATAAATGAATTAATAAAGAATATAAATTGCATCTTATTACTCATCATTCAATTGCATCTCTACTATACTCATCCCATTCAGTAGCAAAATCTCTTGTTTCAGGCGATTGTTGTTCGTTATTTTCTTTTTCGGTAACTTCTTCAATAACTTCATCATCTCCTTCCACATGCTCTTCTTCAATAATCATTACTTGCGATTCTTCTATTCTATTTCTATCTTCACTACATTGTTCCTCATCATATTCAACTATCTCAGTTTGCTCTTCAACATATTGAATACCGTCTTCCATTTGATGAACATTATTTTCATCTATAAGCTCAGATTGTACTTCTTGCACTTCTTCTTCTTCCATCACTGCCTCTTCCACCTCCTCAACAACTTCCTCAACTATTTCCTCCGGCTCCTGTGTAATTTCTATAGATTGATAATCACTATAGGTTTGTCTCTCTGTCTCATCATTATCGTGAATATACACGATCATTCCATCTTCCGTACCTTGCATTACGATTTGTTCATTTCCAGAAATATCCAATTGCTGAGGTTGTTGATGATGATCATTCCCATCCTGTTGTTGATAATTGTCATTATTGATCAACATGATCATTTGCTGACCTTCGAACTCATGAGCATGATAAGTTGTAGTTTGTGAAATATCAGTTATTTGCATTTCTGGTACCATGAAATCAGATTGATTCTCTACTTCTGGAGTTTCCGGAGATACGCTATCTCCAACTCCGAGCGATGTTGCTATCCCACTTGCTACGTGACTAAGAGCTTCTGCCTCCGAAGACGGTTCTAAAGAAATTGGAGGAGCAGGAGCTGGCGTTTCAGAATCTCGTAGATCCTTATGGAAACAGTCCATATGAACTTGCAAATTCGTAACACGTACGAAAGTTTTGCTACAGTGAGGACACCGATATCCTTTTTCTCTGCCTTCTACATGATTATTATGTCCAGTATTTATTTCATGTGTAGTGAGATCATTAGTATCTTTAAAAATTTGAGAGCACTGTAAACATTGAGCTATTTCAAAATTTGAAGGATGATTCAGGGGTGTAGGACGATGGTTATAACTTATTTGATGTTTCACGAGCAGAGTTTCAGAAAGAGCCACGTATGAGCATGCTTGACATTTAGGGAAACACATGCTTTTTGGTGGAGGCACGTTGTGTTTTGTGTAAAGATGATACATCAAAATATTTCTTTTTGTTGCTTTATAGCCACAATGCTCGCAAACTCTTGGATCGAACTTTTCCTCATGTACATCTTGCATGTGTCTTCTATACATATAATAATTTACGTACTCTTCTTCTAAATCACATTTGTTACATTTCCATGGTCCTGTTTCGCCATCTATGTTACCATTACACTTTGAGTCATTTTCATCACCATTACTGCTAGACATCAAGTGATCTGATTTCAATACAACGTAAGAAACTTTTGTTTTACAAGGAGTACTAGTTTCTGCAGATTTAGCTTCTTTCTGCATTATTTTTAAACGTATATTTTTGTTGTGTTTTATCAGATGAGGATATTTTTTAAGCACTTCTCTAATAATTTTTGCATGATTGTTAATAGCTTCATCCGTGTTTGTTTGACAAGATGATGATTTCTCTAAATTTTCTTTTTCTTCAAGATCGAATCTTACCCTTTTTGATGTTTGTTGTGTATCTTGAGATCGTTCAGATGTATTTGATATTGTCCAATCGTCATCTGAATTAATTTCTTTTGAATCTTTTTCATGTAACTGAGTGTCATCTTCTTCATCTTCCGTTGACTCATTCTTCATATCTCTATCAGGAGAGCATTTAGGTGAAGGTGATCTATCTCTTTTATATTTACCTGATGCTTGAACAATAGGTTTTGTATTATATGTGATATCATCAAACGAGGAAAAAACTCCAAGAGCAAATTCATCTGCTTCAGGTAAATCAAATCTGGATGGACCCGCAGTGATTTCTCTAGACTTTGGAGCTGAACCTCGCAATTCATAATTTGAAATTGGCATTGTGGGAGGTAATTCTAATTTTCTTTTCCATATTGGAAGCCTATGAGTTATAAAAAACAAATGTTTAATAAGATCCATCTGGAAATAGCACAATGTATAACTCATGTAAAAAGTAATCAAATTTTAGTACATACTTCCTCCCAGGTAATGGCTGAGCAGACAGTGTCGATGATGCACTTGTAGTTACTGTTCCTTCAGTTGGCAATGTTGTTGATTTTGAAATAATTGGAGTATTTGATTTTATTGGTCTATTTGCTTGTAATGCAGTTGTATTGAATTGTGCATCAAGCAGCTTAGTTAAAACTGTCATCTTCATTTTTTGTGCTGTTCGATACAACGCATGTTGTTCTGAATTCCAATATTCCAATTGTCCAGTATACATAAAACTATATAAAATTTTAATTGTAATCATTTCATAATTCTATGTATATATGTATAACAATGATTAAAATTATATTTTTACCTTATTATAGATTTAACACACTCATAAGGCATATCTGGTGGCATAATGATAACTCCATCAAAATTCTCATCTTTTTCTTTTAACTGACGTTCTAATAGCATAAAGTAATCTGTACATGTTGTGATTACTAAGCGATGTGCCTATAAATAATAAATATGTATATAATATTTTATAATAATATTTTTTAATTTGATAAAAATAATAATTAGTTATATATGATATAATTTGATAACAATACCTGTACAGTAATATCACTAGTTGGAAACTTAATTGTTAAATCAAGTAATTCTTCTTCAAAATAAAGTTGTTGAAGTCTCTGAAGAAAAAAAGTTCCCCAATTATCTACTTTCACCTGCTTCAACCCTCGTGAAGGGAGAGATTTGTCACGATTTGTTGATGTCTGCATTTTTCTATAATCTATACACAAAAATAATAAATTAATATTACAAAAATATTATAAATATAAATTCTTCTCATATACAAGGATAATATCTTTTTCTTCATAAAAATAAAATTTAATTAGAATTACAAAACTATGAAATTTATATGTCGCAGAGTACAAGTAGAAATCTTACAAACATTTTATTTAATCAGTATTAATAATTAATTGTAACTGTGTGGTATAGTATGGATGGAGTATATTTATTCAATATACAAAGACTATATTACCAATACGATATGTCGCTTAACACAGTCACCAACTACTATTATTATGCTTATGAACGTACTACTTGTACTATTAAATCTCTTTTATTCTCCTTCCTTTAAAAGATATAATATCTATGTGTATTGATATTGCGTATTGGAATTTTATATTATAAGCTATTATATTTTTAAAAATTACAATACTTTTCTTATCCCTCAAATATTTTTAATTGAATCTGAAAAATCCAGGCTGTAATTAACTGTTTATTTAGTTAGCTTTTATATACAAATTCTTGTAGATTTTTTTCTTAGTCTTCTATAAAACAAAAATAATTCAACTTATTATAAGCTGTAATACTTTACAACTCACCTTAATCAAGATTGATTATGATCTATATCTATAACCTTATTACCATTCAATTATCATTTCGAATAAATATTATTTACTATCTTAGATTTATATAAATAATATAAATAATAATAAAAATGTAGCGTGCAGTTGAAATCTAATGTTGTAAACGCACACGTATAAAAGATTAAAACATAAAAAAAATACGTCGGATTGTAGTAAGATCGTAAGGTAACATTTTGTAGGACGCCGTTCGAAACAGACGTAATGTATATATATTTATAAAAATTATAAAAAACACTTTGCAATATCACATACATAATGTAAATAGATAAATTGAAAAAAACGCCGTATTTCAAAGGACACATACCTATTCAGGAATAGCTTAATATTCGTTTAGCTCCATCTCTTAAAAATTACTTTGCGACATCATCAATGCCAAGTGATGAGCTCTCCCTCATAGATGGAGTTAACTGATCGAGAAAATAAATCAGTGGTATCAACCTTTAAATATAAAATTAAACAACTTTCTTATTTAGAATATTTCATTTTTACCCTAGCATGAAAATATTTGTCTAATACATTTTACAATAGATTATTATAATCATGCTAACTTAATCTATTCAGAGCAAATATTTTAAATTGAAAAGAAAATGGTTTTTAACTTCATTCATTTTATATCGACAGCGACTTAGCGAGAAAGAACAAATTGAAAAAACTGCAATTTTATTATAATAAATTGGAAAGATTTAATATAAAAAATAACTAAATCTATGCATATGCATCAGCATCCATGCAGAGACTAAATACAATATTATTATATAATTCATCTATTTACGCTATATTACACATCATACGTACATGTGTAAAAAATGTGTATTATAAATTAATTTTACAATCAAAAATATTTATATTTTTAATAAATATACGAATATATTTATATATATATTTGTACAACAATTTAACACATTCGCAACTGGCACTTGTTTGAATAAAATATTTAGCTGGATACCGTATATATAAAAACTTGAAATATAAAACATTAAAATAAGATTACATATTGCTAATAAAACATAGTATTACAATTTTATAATAATACTGCAAAGTAGTTGACTGTATGTGTTAATGTAAATATTGGGTTCCCCAAAAAGTTTGTGTCAATTTATATTTTTAATGTACATATATCTGAGCCATTTATTTTGAAAGTGATCTAACATAAGTCCATTTTTCATAAAAAGTTAAGCTATAATAGTATAAATAGCTAATTTCAAGTGGTATATGTTACTATAGTTAATAATAAACTGACAAATGGATTTAGGCTATTTTAAAAATAAACGACTCACTTATTTTAAAATTGACACAAATTTATCGAATAACTTAATGGTGTAAATATTGAATTGCCTAACTAAATATTATATTACAATTTTAATGTAAACATATATATATACTAACAGAGATATGTATCCAAGCAACCCAATAATATATTACTATTTTAATACAAATAATCTTATTTACAGTAACGATCAGCTTTCATTTTACTTCTTCGATCTAATAAAGTTTCATGTAAATTTCCTTCCGTTTTAGCTTTTTCTAAGGCAGATCGATCTTCTTTATTTATCCTTAGTTTCTTATCTTGAAATTTTTGAAATTTACGTCTGTAACAAATAACACACACACACAAACACATCTTTTTACTAACATTTATATAGATATATTAATTATATGAAAATTAAAATGTCATTATGCTTACACATAGTTTACTTCTACGTCAGCTAACGAACCAACTTCTTCTTTTGGAATATCTTTATTAGGTTTATTGTCACGTTCTATAATACTTCTTATAGTAACATATTCTGATAAACCTGCTATTTTACTTTGGCAAATAACGTCATCTTCGTCGGTTATAGAAATGAAGTTTCCCATCGTATTACTTAATATAGCAAGTTTATCGCTCTAAAAAAAATTCATAATTAATAATATGTTACATATTGAAATAAAAGTTTATTTGTGTGATCATTTGTCAAGAAACTTACTTCAAAAATTGGTTCCCATTGTTCAATTGCACCTACTGCATCACTACGTCCCACAACAACACCATTTTTGTCAACGCCAAGATATTTACCATAACCAGACTTTAACGCTATTAAATTGTCGCTTATACGAAATGCTGTTAAAATTTCTTCAGGACTAGGGCCTTCGCCATCTGCGTGAGGAGCACCGAGCGTAAAAAGCCCATTATCAAGAGCCTTTATGTAGGTTTGTTTTCCAAACTCGATGGCTACTGTACCCGTTATCTCTTTGACACTATTGGTCTTCCACCAACCACCTGTTAAAAGAGAAATTAAATCTTTTTAAATATACTTATATCTTTGATATAGTGTGTAACAAACTAGTGACAATAATAATTAAAAATATAATAAACAAATAACGTATATACATACCATGAAGCTTGATATCTTCATTATCAATAGTGACGCTTTCTCTGGTTTCTTGTTTCTTAGATTTTCGTTTCCTTGATCTGAAAATACATCAATTAATTATTAAATCGAATTTTTCTACTGATAATTATTAATATAAAAGTAATCGAACAATTTTTGTATATAATACCTTATTTTTTCTCCCTTCAAAACAAGTTTTCCAGTTCTTACTCTCTCGTATTCCGCCATTTTCTATCAAAACAAAATAATTTCACAAGTATGTATAAATATTTATATATATATATATATACAAATATCTGAGCACTAAATAATTATAAAACACTTGTAACAATCATGTAATAACTCAATTGCACTAATTTTTAACAAACTTTTTCATAACTAAATTCGTGACTTATGCAGCATTCTGAACATAAATGCGTTTATAATTGTTCATTTATAATTTGTTCCCGCATGGAGAAGAAACGTGTGCAGTCTGATTGGTTAAAACGACCAACCTCCCACTCCGTTTCGATTCTACCAATTAATATTTTTTTTATAAGTAGAAAATCCACACAGTAACACAATTTATTTATTATAATGTTAATATGCTGTAATAGTTACGTAAATGTTTATTGTCAAAAGAATTCAAGCTTCTCAAAACATTCGATACTTTCAAAACTTTCAAGATTTTTAAGAATTGGTCAATTTAATATTACTCGAAGTGACGCCATTACTAATTCTATTTTGACATTTCGGAAAACAAGCGGGAAAAGGATTGTACATGAGCCTAGACGAGTCTACACGAGCTTCCACGAATTCGCACGAATTTGCTCGAACTGTAAAAGCTAATACAGTGTGTGTATCACACAATTAAGGCTTTTTACTCTATTTTATCACTACCATTATCATAAATTATATGAACATTATGATTGAAATATGTCAAGAAATTAGGATGAAATAGAAAAATCATAACATTTAGTATTTAATTAAAATTTTTATATATATATAGCACAGAAATTTTTGCTACTTTCTGAATTAAACCGTAGTTCAAAACTATCAGATACCTAAAGAAATGCTATATNTTAATTCATGAGCAAATCAGTCAAGAACCAGCAAAAATACAAGTGCCTATAATCTAAATCTTCTAAAAAGAAAATTTAATAGAAATTGTTTTATCTCAAATTAAAAGAATGAATGTGGTGTATAGAAACATACATATTTTTTCTTAAGATTTTATTTAATGAAAATAAACTGATATTATACGAGATATATTACTCTTTTAGTAATAATTATTAAAATATTATATCTTAAGAATGATAATTAATATTTGATAATATTATAACACATATGTCCTTTATGTATGGACAATATTAATGTAAATGATCAGATTTATTTACTATACTAATAGAATAATCAAAGTGATTATTGATTAATATAAGATTGTCATAATGAATCCATTATTCAAGATCCTCTTTTTAAACTGTTGGGGCAATATTTATTTGATCATTGGAATATGTATGGGCTTAAGTCTTAGTTTGTTTTTGGTACCAGTTAATGATTTTGAAAATGAAGAGAAAGTAGAATACGTATCTCAATTATCACATACACATGAGGCTAGTGATGAATATGAACCTAAAGTAAATATAGCTAATAAACCATTGCAAGCACGAAAGATACCAAAAATGTTTACACGTCCAAGGTATTATTCTACAGAACTTGGAATTAAAGAGAAGCTCTTTGTAGGAATAATAACTAGCCGAATGTATTTATATAGTAGAGATATTGCAATAAATAAGACAATTGCACATTTAGTTGACAAAGTGCGTTATTTTATCTCAATACCAGAAGGTGTTAAACCTAATGTATCTCTTCCTGGTATAGTAGGCTTTACAGATACCAGAAGTATTTTAAAACCATTTCATGTTATGAAATACATTACTGATAATTATTTAGAAGACTATGACTATTATTTTTTAATTAAAGATGTAAGTTATATTAATGCTAGAAAATTGGTTGACTTCGTATCTAAAATTAGCGTGAGTCAAAATGTTCATGTGGGTATACCAATCGATACACAAGCCTATTGTTCTTTAGGTAAAGTATAAAGTTTATTCTTTATGTAATAAAATAATATACATATATATATATATATATATATATATATAAATGAGACTATTATGATTTCCAGATTCTGGTATTCTTTTGAGTAACTCTATAATTCAAGAAATTAAAACTAATTTAGATTGGTGTGTACAAAATACATACTCAGATATAGATGATATTAATTTTGGACGTTGCATTGTGCATTCTTCGTCACTTCCTTGTACAAGCCTAATGCAAGGACAAACATTCTTATCAACGAAGTTAAATTCTACATTTAACTTTGAACAAGAGTTATCAAAATTACTTCTGCGAGAAAATTTTTTAAATTCACTTACTATTCATCCTATTTATGATCATCTCAATTTCTACCGTTTTCATATGTACATAACGGCGGTAAGAATGTTATTAATAAATTAACACATCATATACATAAATTAATTTTTGGAACAAATACATGAAAAAGAGAGACACTTTCTTTCAGATGAAATCTATTGATGGTCAGCGAAAGATCTTTGATTTGCGTAATGCTATTTTACAAACTAAGCATTTAACACCAGAGCATGAACATAATATATCATGGCCTATTGGTAATCAACCAGGAAATAAACCTTTAACACGTTTCGATGTTTTACACTGGGCATACTTCAATGAAACGCATACCTTTTTTGAGACTGACTTTTTAAATATACGAAAGTTAAAAGCAGATGCTAAATTCGATATAGATCATATAATAAATACAATTACTAGTAAAATAATTATGGAAAATAATCAAAGGCTAGTGTTCAAAAAATTGATAAATGGCTATAAAAAGTTTGATGCGTCTAGAGGAATGGATTATATTTTTGATCTTTCTTTTATTGAAGTAGCTACTGGGAAAGAATTATATAAGAGAGTAGAAGTATGCAAAACATTAGGAAGAGTTGAAGTTATATCAGTTCCGTATGTAACAGAAAATACAAGGATTAATATGATATTAATTGTTAATATAAACAACAAGGAGGATGCATTGAGTTTTATAGAATATTATGAAGAGAGTTGTATGCAAAAGAAATATAAGACTTTTCTTATGCTTGTAAGTATTATTTGAATATTTATTAATAACTTTTTAAAGAATCAATAAATAAATAAGTTTACAAATTTTGCAGGTTCTTTTATACAACGTTGAATCACCATCAAAAGGGCAAGCAGATATATTTTATGGTATTAAAAAATATGCTTTAATGCTTTCAGAGAAATATAAAAAGGACCAGTCAAAGGTTACATGGCATTCAGTTCGTTTACCAATCGTTATAAATGATATTGAAATAGATCCAATGCTTAAAATTGCTGTCACAGATTTATGTATTAAAAAGTTTTCCCCTGAAAGTTTAATTCTCTTTGTAGAAATTGGTATGGATTTGAAATTAGATTATTTAAATAGGGTATGTAAAAACAAAACAGAATGATATAACAATTATGAAAATATTACATTTTCATATATTCATTTTGTAGGTTCGTATGAATACTATAAATCAATATCAAATATTTAGTCCAATTCCATTTGTTGCTTATCATCCTGATATAATATATACTGATGCTAATAAACACACTGAAGTGGATATTAATCATAATTATGGAAGATATGATGAATATAATTATAATAATATTGCGTTTTATGTTAAAGATTACATTGCAAGTATGTTATAAAATATGTGTACGGGGTTGAAAAGTTTTGAGTCTAACATAAAAACAATTTTTTTCTCGTTCAAGCTCACTTTTATTTTTCGATATAGTTTCAAAACTTTTCAACCCACCCTCGTATCTCATTTAGTATTAGCTTTAAAATAATTATTGTATGCAAAATGTTCTTCTATTATGTTTCAGTGAGAAAAGCTGTTGAAACGAGTATTCCATTAGCTCGTTCTGATAAAGATATTGTTACTCTTTTAGAGTTTTCAAAGCATAATCCAATTACTTCTATATTTGACATGTTTGTGTCTTTTACTGACATACATATACTACGTGCAGTAGAACCAGCATTGAAAATCAAATATAAAGATATACGATGTAATAGTACTTTTAATCATGATACTTACACAACATGTGTTAAGCAAAAAAATATTCATTTAGGTCAACGCAGTCAACTTGCTAAACTTATATTGGATTACAAAAAGGATCGAAATTAATTTTGTTATCATATTTAATTGTTATCACAGTTGCATTTTGTGAATAAATATATTATGTACCTACATAGGAAATATATTAAGATTCAAGAATCTTTGTTACTTTTAGTTGATTTTCATGGTTCTACTGCTTTTTTCTCTATATTACTCAATATTATTGTTTGTATAGGTAAAGATTTAGTTGATGTATAAAAATCTTGTTTGAAATTTATCTTGAATTTAAAACATAAAGTTTTAAAGATTTATAAGGTTGAAACTATTATGTTTACATCTAAAATGTGTATTACACTTGAAATAAGATAGAGTAATTAACTTGATATATGACACATGTTGATATTGCCAAAGTTAGAACTATACAATGAATATTATATTCATTATATTTTTATTCAAAAGAATGTATTTTTTATATAAAGTTTTATTCAGAATAAATGAAATTACATAATAATAGTTATGCTGTGTGTAATTGTACACTTACATATTTTTTAATATTTGAAGAGATTAAGATTAATATTACAAATTGCATCTTTTGTGCATATATGCAACCATCGCAATCACTCACACATGCTTACATGTAACACACATGCACACATTTACTCAGATTGTACATATAAATTTTAAAGCCAGTTTCACCCTTGATTGTTAAATGTGTCCCTCATCACAGTCGCTGATGTAACTCAACATATATAATACGATCTTATTTAATTTCCTTTTATTTATAACATCGCATTATAATTTGTAGAGTCCTAATACTTACCGTGTTCTTCAAAGAAACATATCCGTGCATCTTAGTTCAATCTACTTCAATAAATTTAAATTGAAAGTTTATTGGAACTAAATTATATTGGAACACGATAATGCATGTCTTTCCTTACAACTTTTAGATAACATAAGAGTATATACATAAAAAAAAAAATAAAAAGAATATATATATAATAATAATAATAATCTCTAATAAAGCGTCGCTTATGTGTTATTTATCGAGTATTTCTAAAAAGATTACTAATTTTATTACAATAACTAAATTACAATCATAATAACCATCCATATTGCGTCGCAAATTTGTCTAAAAATCATATATTCTAATTAATATAGGATTCCCTTATATACAATATATTATTGTAATATAGAGAATAATACAAAGATATTAAAATAATGTATACTAATGTTGAATAATTGCGCTTCATCATTTTTAACTGTAAAGTCAAACTTACTAGTTCTATATTAAGGCAGTAATTATTTTTGGAACTGAATTTGTGCATGCGCTTGTACGAGTTCAGGTGTACCTAATGATGATTAATTATAAATGATATATTGATATGTGATAATGATGATAATCTTGTTATAAATTCGTTTGTTTTAATGGAAAATAACCAAATATTTAAAAGTTAAAAATGTAATTTTAACGAAACTGTTATTTACAAATTAGTTGAATTTACTTCTAGCTGCAACAAGCACATTTGTAGATTTTTAAATATGTAATTTTTATATTACACAATTATTTTTAAGAAAATTAATTATGATGATTTTGTTCAATGTTTTTATGCTATTGTTAGGTACACCTTCTTAGTACAAGATATGTAAAATGTTTGTACCGTTTATTTGTACAAAGGTGGTTCAAGCAATCAAAATGGAATTAAGTATTATGTATTTTCAATTCAGATAAGGTAGCAGAAAGTAATCTTTGTTTAACGATTTTCCCACGAAACCTTCACTCTACAACATTCTTTTATTACTTTATATATTCTTTTGATATGTTTCATTTATTTTTACAATTATGCTCGATTACATATTAAAACAAATGATTTTAAAAAATTTTTATTACTAAAAAGTGATGTGAATTTAATATATATATATATATATATTTTTATCATATTATAAAATCATATTAGAGAAAAAGTAACATAGAAATAATATTTTAATACTTAGTTGTTTTTCCACATTTCTCATTCTTACAAATAATTAATTTACTATTGTAATTATGAACCACCAATGTACCAAATTTCTCCATTTTACGTAAGTGGAGTGTTTACAAATTCTATCTCAAATATATTCATAATTTACTCTTACTTGCTATTTTAAAATGTTATACAAAATCACAGTAATATACATCTATATATATATAACAATATTATGTTGCCCGAGCACCAAATTAATTTAATTAGGTTTGTGATTCTCTGCAATCTTAAGTGAATTTTAACATTTATATTAAAACAAATATATAAATAACATTAAAATTAATAATTAATAAAATCTTGATACTTGATTTGCAAAATTACATTAAATGTACGGAAGTTTATTAAAGTAAAAATGGAAGAAATATTTTCTACCATACGTATATATTGAATTATTAATGCAAATCATAACATAAGCTTGACTTCTGCATATCAGATATTCTCACATAGTATTAGTTTTCACGATGTATGTGTAATTAAAAAACAGTTCGAATCAATAAATAAATATTTCATTACAAAAATTAACATATGTGTCATAATTATTGATTGCAGATTAGAAAAGATTGCAGCAGATTTAGACATTTTAACAATCAAGGGTTCTGCTCCTTTAATTCATAAAATGTTCAATGATGCGTGTCAGACCATTATATAAGCAATATTGTTTCACAAATTGTAATCACGTGAGTAAGCATCCTTGTAATATACTATACTATGTATTAAATATGTTGTTCTTTTTCAAGGTATATAGAAAAACTGTTTTTTTTTCAAGGTTAATTATGATATTCTATAAAGGAAGCTGCAAAAATTTATGTAAAGTGAATATACTCTAGGATTTTACATTTTATTCTTTCGTTGATCTGTTGAGTGAAAAAAATTAATTTTAGCAAATAGTTTAAAGGAGACAACATCGATGCCTCCTGCGCCCAGAATTACCAACTCTCATACGTTTTCTTTTTTCTTTACCTCTGTGTTCTTTATCTTTTCGTATTTCTCTTACCTAAAATGTACCAATGATCTTCATAAATATGTATTACTTTAATATATATAATTATGAGTTTATGACACTTTGGTAGCACGCAATATCATATTCCAATATTTTCAATATTTATAATAATTAACTCACCAGAGTATAAAAAGCATCATCTACACCCATTCTAGTTTTTGCAGAAGTTTCAACAAATGGTACTCCATATTGGCGTGCAACTTCTCTTGCTTGTGTCATATTTACTGCCCAAGATTGTTGAAGATCGCACTTATTTCCAACTAATACCATTGGTACTTCTTCTGCATCTTTTACTCTTTTTATTTGTTCTCTATACGTACCTATATCCTTTAAGGATAAAAATAACATATGACTAGCATTTGTACGTCATGTCATGATTAATATCTTATATTATGATTTTCGTCTTTATACATAGAATACAATGTGGAATACATACCTCAAAGCTTTTTGCAGAATTAACAGCAAATACTAATAAAAACCCTTCACCAGTCCTCATATATTGATCTCTCATTGCACTATATTCTTCTTGGCCAGCTGTGTCTAATATATCTAAAAGGCACGTTTCTCCATCAATAACAACCTGTTTAACAAAATATTTATCATTAATAAAACAGCTTTCGAACTACATTAATGGTTGACCATATAAGTAAATCGTAGTGTTTTATTAACGAGTTAAATTAAACTTACTTGTTTCCTATAAGAGTCTTCAATGGTAGGGTCATACTCATCTACAAAGTGATTTTGTATAAGTTGAATAGTTAATGCGGATTTTCCAACGCCACCAGCTCCTACCACTACGAGCTTATATTCCGTCATAATACCAGTTCTTGTTTTAACGTAAACTGGTACATCCAATGGAAAACTTTAGTTACTTCTTAAAATATCTATAAATCATATAATTAATATGTAAATATTATTTTCTATAAATTATTATATAGTATATAATAATTTTCATTTAATTCTCGTCCAAAATTTTTACTTTCTTCAGATGTTTAAAACACACACATTTATAAGTTTAATTAATTTATTATTAGGATTAAATATATATTGAATAAATATAAAATAAATATTCTATAGTACGTAAAATGATTTATTTCTTGTTAATATTCTTAGAGTCGGATATGATAATAAATAATAAATAATATAGTTTCTTGAATGGGAGGATATAAACAAATGATTAAATAGACAAAAGCTAAGATACATATATATATATACATAAATATATATATATAAAGCGCCAAAAAAGACTGTAATAAAGAACTAACGCAATGAAAGAATAATTTACTGAAATAATACAATTTATTAACCAATAGTAATTTAAAGCAGTCAGGGTGCGATAAGCAGATACGAGAGAAGAAAAAAAGAAGTAAAATTGCAATGTAAAATATTTTTTTTATTTCACGTACACTCACCAAATTTATGAAATTTAATCCTAACACTGATTAAATGATCACCTTCTAGGTTTATACGTTAATTATTAATCATTTATTGTTATTTATCATGGGCAAGTACTATACACCCATTGAACAGAGTAAGATGCCATAAGATGTTATGCAGCCACGCCAACGTACTTAACTATTCACAGAGGAAAGATCAGATATATTGTTACGTCCCGGCAGATCATGGCTTCGAAATCAGTGTGTAAGAAAATAGAGTTCTCTATCGGTAAAATCAATCTCGCTCTTAGCTCAGTGTCAAAGAATACAGAAGTACATAGAAGTTCACAAGTCCACTTTTCGCGTAACCACAATCATCTTAGTTAGTACCCTGACTATCAGTGGGCGAGAGTAGGTACTTAACGCGATGACGATACAATACTATTAAAGAATATTGTAGCGGCAAGAATCAGGAACTAGAATATTATTGGTTCGAACTCTGACCACTACTACTATTTTTATGTAACATTTATTTAATTTATAAACTATTACAGAACAAAACGAAAACAAGAACAAAAACGGATAACAAAAATGCGTTGAGGATTAATACGTTGTGGAGCGAATAAGTGCAACTTCTTGACTAACTAATTTATTTTCTAACAACGAAA